TACCAAGACACTGCCCAGAGCAGACACTGCCCAGATGCTGCCCAGAGCAGACACTGCCCAGAGCAGACACTACCCAGAGCAGACACTGCCCAGAGTAGACGCTGCCCAGAGCAGACGCTGCCCAGACACTGCCCAGAGTTGACGCTGCCCAGAACAGACACTACCCAGACACTGCCCAGAGCAGACACTGCCCAGGCGCTGCCCAGAGCAGACACTGCCCAGAGCAGACACTACCCAGAGCAGACACTGCCCAGAGCAGATGCTGCCCAGAGCAGACACTGCCCAGAGTAGACGCTGCCCAGAGCAGATACTACCCAGACACTGCCCAGAGCAGACACTGCCCAGACGCTGCCCAGAGCGGACGCTGCCCAGACGCTGCCCAGAGCAGATGTTGCTCAGATACTGCCCAGAGCAGACACTGCCCAGAGCAGATGCTGCCCAGACACTGCCCAGAGCAGACGCTGCCCAGAGCAGACACTGCCCAGAACAGATGCTGCTCAGAGACCACACTGCCCAGAGCAGATGCTGCCCAGACACTGCCCAGAGCAGACGCTGTCTAGACAATGCCCAGAGCAGACACTGCCCAGACATTGCCCAGAGCAGATACTGCCCAGAACAGACGCTGCCCAGACACTGCCCAGAGCAGGTATTGCCCAGAGCAGATGCTGCCCAGACACTGCCCAGAGCAGATGCTCCTGGCAGAGCCTGGTGCTGACTCCATAACCTGGTGGCTGGTGTGTGTGAAGCCTTTGGACTGTACCCATAACTGTGACTTATTAGGCCAAACTCATTGACTAAGTCCTATAAAATACTCTAGGTTCATATATAATTATATGCAGCCAGAGAAACCTGGGAGGAAAACTTGCACAACCAACTGAAAAAGATATTTTTGTGGGCTGGAGCAGTGAGTTTCGGCCACACCTGACTGTACTCAGGGTTTGCTCTGGGTTCTTCACTCAGGGATCACACCTGGTGGAGCTCAGGGGACAATATGGGGTGCCAGGGATGGATCCTGGGTCATCTGCAGGCAGGGCAAGTGCCCCACCCCCTTGACTATATCTCTAATCCCAGGAAAAAATATTCTTAGATGAAAAATGGTCATTAGATGGATATGTAACACCATCTACTGCCAAAAAGCCCCTGGAATTGGTGACCCTGCCCCTGTCCAGTCTCAAAAAAAAGGAATCATTTTTAATGAATCAATACAGACAGGGGCCACTGTGATGATGTAGCTAGCTTTTTAAAAAAGTTTCTGCACCCTCAGAACATCACTGGAGTGTTTGATGGGATCATGTCACCTAGAGAACACTGGCCTTGCCAAGGCGCCTCTCATAGCAAGCAAAATGCAAATCAAAATGCAAAGTATTTTCTTCTTTTCAAATCAAGGGAGATGGGACTCAGGAAGTCTGGAGACATTGGCCAATAGGTTATACATGTCACACAGGCTGCTTCAAGAGGGTAGGGACGCTACAGAAACCATCTCAGAATGCAAATGTGGCTGAATTGGGACAGTCAGATGAGAGGAGGGCCGAAGTGCCCCTGAAACCATGGTGGCCGGATGGTGGGCAGAGTACTCCAGCAGAGTCAGAACTGTACTCAGTAGGCCAAGGAGTTTGGCCACTTGCCAGACTCCTGCTGCTTCCCCTGGGTACAATGTTCTTAGGGTTCTGGCTATGGAGCAGACACGCAGGCAGCTCTGCTGGAAGAAGACTCAGGAATCGGGCTGTTGGCGCAGTTTCAGGGTGTTTTGCTGTGAACTTCTAATCTAAAAAATGGAATTTGGGGTCAGAATAATAGTTCAGCATGTAGGTATTTGCCTTTGCGTGGCTGATCCAGGTTTGACCCTCCCATACCCATATGGTCCCCCAAGCTATGTCATGAGTGATCCCTAAGGACAGAGCCAGGACACCTCTGGGCATCACCCACAAACCAAAAGTGAGAGAGAGAGAGAGAGAGAGAGAGAGAGAGAGAGAAATTTAAAGTGGAATCTTGGATGGATGTGCACATCTTCCTGGGGAGCACATGATTTCAGGCTGACCCAGACGCTGCTCGGGTTGAAAGCTGGTTCACTGTGGCCCCTGTCCCTGCACCTTAACTTCCACAGACACCCTCTGTCCTGACCTCCGGTCCCTCTGTACCCCTCTCTCAGGTGCACACCCACATCCTTACCACCTGCTCTGACAGCGGAACCCCACCATGACTCGGAGGCCATTTGTTGAGATGTATCCTCCATACATACTCCTCAGCAAAGTTGGGTGAATACTTCCAGCCTGTTCAGAGTGTCAGATTTGGTGCAGGGCCTCTTAATTCCCTTACTCACAAAGTCCTGTGCCAGACATTTTCAGGGGAAGATGAGTGGGTCTGGCCGGGGGCTCAGCATCTACAGAGGACAAGTCAGTCTGTGACGGCACAGAATGAAAAAGTAGGCCTGGGCAGCCCCAGGAATCCTCAGGTCAGGAGGGCAGGACAGAGGTGAGTCCAGCCAGGCCAGCCCCAGCTGTGACTCCAGGCAGAATTTGGCCTATGTTTCGGGGCCATGACGAGGCTGGAAGCTTTCAGGCAGGAAATCAGTCTGATAACATGGTTCTTGGTGAGATAGTGAGGAAGCTGGATTGGGTCTGTCTCAAGGGTGACCCAGGAGGTATGTGAGATGATCTGGGCCTCCAGGCCTGGTGTCTAGCCTCTTTGGTCCCTTCCAGTCAAATAGAAATATCTTGCCATCCCAAGGGGCCTTGTCTTGTAGGAGCCAGTACAAGAATGGAGATTTGAAAGTAAGGAAAAAATGTTTTAAACAATAAGAAAATCAAGGTGCCAACAATAGTGTTTTTATAAGGTTTTATTTTTCTCATGACGACATCTACTCCCTGTGAAATTATTCTTTTAGAACAAAGGGAAAGGGAAGAACTGGCCAAGCTGACCAGCAGGAAAGCAACAGTCCTACCCAGGAGGTAGGGTTGAGGGCGCCCCCTGCAGGCCTTGAGAAAGGATTGCAGAAGGCTCAGCTTCTGTAGGTCAAGGAGTAAAGACCCACAAACCAGCGCCAGTACCCTGAGGGGCTGCAGAACCCCCAGCAGGCCAGGCCCAGGGTGCCCCCAGAGCGAGCTGCCAGCTCCCACCCTCTGTCTGGGAGTGGTTCCCAGGTGACTCATAGGAATAACAACAGATCAGCTCTCCAACAGTGGCTCTTCCTGCTGCACAGAGTAAGTCAAGTGCCAGGCGTGCATTGTGTTCTAACTTATCTCAGGATCAGACAGGAAATAAGAAAAGGCTTGGCTTGATTCTTCTGTACAAGAACATTCTTCCCTTTTCCTCCTCTGCTCTGAGGTTTGAGTTGCGGAGTCAGTGAGATCCTCACCCGATTTCAGGCTTGAGTGCAGCCGGGCAGGATAGGGTGGTGGCTAGATGCACTTGGAGGCTGGTGGGGACTTTTGTCCCAGTTTTGGGACTTTGGAAAAGTTGCTTCACTTTTATTTCATTTAATTTGTATTTTATGGTTTGGGGGCCATACCGGCCAATTCTCAGAAGTTACTCCTGACTCTGTGCTCAGGAATCACACTTGGTGGTGCTCAGAGGACTCTCGGGGGTGTCAGGGATCAAACCTGGATCAGTCATGTGCAAGACAAGCACCTTTCCCACTGTACTATCTTACCTGCCCCAAATTGCTTCCCTTTTGACCACCCAATTCCTGTATTTTTTAAAAAATGGGTAGAATAAGGACAGGGGGCGCTCTGTGGCCCCTCGGGGGTGCAGCTGCTGGTGTCTGGGCATCTGTTCCTTGAGCTCCAGAGGCTGGAGCCAGGAGGGCCCCTTCCTGCAGTCCCTCTCGAGGAGAAAACAAACAAACTTGAATGAGGTTCTTAGAGCAGAGACTGGAGAAAGCAAACTCAGTGAAGATAGCTAGTGCCATTACCTTCATCATCACATTCTTTTGTTTTTTGCAAAGAAATTTGTTTCTTTTTTGGGAGGAGGGGACTTGCATTGGGGGAGATGAAACACCGGGCTGTGCTCAGGCCTGTTCCTGACTCTGCTCAGAGATTTCTTCTGGAGTGCACGGGCACCAAGTGTCATGCCAGAGAGGAACCGAAGTTCCTCATACACTAGGCAAGCACCATACCCACTGTGCTTTCTGGTCCCTGCCGTTACTCTCTGCATCCTTCCCCTCATTCACTGTTCCTGCAGAGACAGACAGCCTTCCTCTGTCCAGCGGCTGGGGCATTGCTTCTAAAGTCTGTAACTCACTCAAAATCATCCTGGCTAACTGCTGTGCTATCTGCTTGTCTCCTGGACCCAAAGCCCCCTCTTCCCACTTTCCATCTTCCAAGATATCAACAGTTCTTTCCCTCCTGTTCTCAAAGCCTCTCCTAGGATGGGAACCCCCCATTGGCTCCAGAGTACCATGAGGAAGAGGCTGTGGTGTCCGGGAAGGCCTGGGTGGGGGCCCAACCCTGACCCTGGCCCCTGAAACCCACTGGACCTTGCTTGCTTAAACTTCCCCTCTCAGCACTCCTTTTGACCCAAGGAAAAAGGGTTGCAGTTTTGGACATATAATGCAGATCTACAAATCAAATATCTACTGATACTACATCTAAATTTAAAACAAAATTTGTGGCAACCATCCCCCAGCCAGTTATAAAACCCCATAAGGAAAAGTTGCCCAAAATTTAAGGAATCAGACACTGGCCTCATCAGTGCTGGTTAATAATGCCAACTTATACCTACTTAGGGTCGCGTGGGTGTGTCTGAATGGGAATGTGTGTGTGTGTGTGTGTGTGTGTGTGTGTGTGTGTGTGTGTGTCTGTGCCTGTACAAAGTGAAGTGGGACACGGATGGGAGCCTGAAGGGAGCATGAGCTGTGGAGGCAGGTGTAGGGGTTCTGACCAAGATCAGGTCCCCACAACTCTGAGCCCCTGCTCTCTGCCTACTAGGCACCTGGGCCCTAAGATCCTAGGTCCAGCACAGGTCACAGGGCTGACTGTAGTCACCCTTTTCCTCTCCCCCAGGACTCTACGTGCTGGTTGGAGCGGGAGCCCTGATGATGGCCGTGGGGTTCTTCGGCTGCTGTGGAGCCATGCAGGAGTCCCAGTGTGTGCTCGGATCTGTAAGTGGGGGCAGGGTGGGAGGGGCCTGCGGAATCCCTGTGGCATCCTGCACCAGCCCCTGGAACCCAGACCTTAGCACGCTCTCCCTTTCCCGGAATCCGGGGCTCTCTCACCTGGTTAAGAGTCTTTGTTCCAGCCACACAGGGAAAGAGTAAACCAGATGAAGTTCCTGGCTCCTGGGAGGCTGTTGGAGAAGAGTGAGAGCCCATGACTGTGAAGGGCCATTAAGCATGTTCTTTGATTAGCAGCAGGTCACTGTGGTGTTCCTCAGATTCCTGTAACCAGGAAGTGCTCTTATCTGACTGCTGGGGACCAGTAGCAACCAGTCTCCCTCTGGCAGCTTATTTTAACTAGCAAACTCGTTTTTTTTTTCCTTTGGGGAAAAAAAAGAAATAATTTTAATTAACTTTTAAGCATCCATGACCTCCGTGAACTCAGAAACAGAGGAAGAAAGAAGAGGGTCCATCAAAGAGAAAGGGCTGTGCTTCTCGGGAGGGTCTGAGTCAGCGACTTCAGGAGAGGCCTCTTCTCTCCTGTGCAACCTCTGGTCCTTCCTACCTGGGTGTCTAAATAAGGATTCTAACTCATTCTCTGGCCCTGTATGCTCCTTCACTCCCTTCTCCTCCGTCCCTTTCTTTTGTCTCCCTCTCTATTTCTCTGCCCCTTCTCTGTATCTCTCTTTCTCCTCTTTCCCCCCTCTCCCTTCTTCTCTTTCTTTTTAAGTATTTTTCTCTGTTTCCATCCTTCTGTGTTTGTCTCCTCCTTCTCACACTTCCTATCTATTTTTTTCTCTCTGTATTTCTGTCTGTCTGTCTGTCTATCTATCTATCTATCTATCTATCTATCTATCTATCTATCTATCTATCTATCTCTCCTCTATGGCAATGCATTAGTTTGATCAGAGCAGACCCAAGGCCAGAATCTGTTCAGGACCCCACGTCCCTGTCCTTTCCACTCTCCAAGAAGCCTTCCCAAACCTGAAATCTCAGGTCCCACCTTCCAGATACAGGCCATGCCCCTCACTTCCTCTCTGCTGCCTTATTTTATATCTTTAGAAAAAACATTCTGCTCATCAAATATTAAGTATTCTCTGAGCACATAGGTGCCAAGAGCTGTTTTAGGTGGTGGGATATCAGACTCTGAATTATTTGCTCATTTTATTGGTTTATTCATTTCTCATATCAGCTCTGAAGTTGTTTATTTTTCTATTTATTGAATCTGAAGTTCTTTATTTTTGTATTTATTGAATCACCATGAGACATAAAGTTATAAAGTTGTTCATGATTGAGTTTCAGTTGTACAATATTCAAGCATTCATCCCTTCACTGTGACCACTTCCGTCCACCGATGTCCCCAGTTTTCCTCCCACTCCCCGACCTGTCTCTACTACAGATGCTTTTCTTTTCCTTTTAGGCACTGTGGTATGCAGTACTGCACATTGCACACAATACTGTTTTGCAACACTGTTACTGAAAAGCCATCATTGCACATCACTTTCCCCATTTCAGCACCCAGTTCTTCTTGTCACAGGGTATCATTTCTCACTGTCATGGACATAGAGGTCCCTTCTCTGACCTGTTAACATGAGGTTCTTGATAGCAAAACTATTGGACTTTTGTTATGTATCATCCAGTACTATGACAGAGTAGATACTGCTACAGAGTAGATGCTCAATAAACAATAGCTGAATGAATGAACAAACAAATTCCAAGGAAACTGTGGGCAAATGCTTTCTGCTAGATAAACTCAAACACATATTCTTAGGTAATGTTTCCAAATAGTGTAGAATCTTAGAGGCTAAGTGTATTGAAATGGTATCACACTGATAAAGCTGGTGTTTTCTTTTCTCTCCTACAGTTTTTCACCTGCCTCCTGGTGATATTTGCTGCTGAAGTAACCACTGGAGTATTTGCTTTTATAGGCAAGGATGTAGTAAGTAAAAATTACTTATGATTTTTTGTGTGTAATGCTTCATGTGTTCTCTTTATGTAAAACCACAGAAGAATGTTGGCACCTACGATTAAAAATCCAAATAACCACAGTTGTTCCTTTTACCTAGAAAAAAAAGCTGAGCATTTGTGAGAAAGACTGCATTTTTCTGTGGAAATAGTTTGCAGCTCTTATTTACAAAAGTGTTCATGATTTTAAAAGACGAGGATTCCTATGATCATGCCATTTAAAGTGGAGTAGGAATTTAACTGCACACAATGCATTTTAGGGAAAAGCAGTGGATTCTCATCCCTTGTTTGACCGTCATTTGTCCCGTGGCTTGGTCAGTGTTCTCATGAATCCAGTTTCTCTGGCTTGCATTGTGGCCAGAGGCATTCAGAACGGGTCATCCAGAGAACCCACTACGAGGCTTTTTAGAAGAAAAAGAGTGAAGAGGAAAAGGACAACGAATGGAACCTTGAGTTACTATATTTCCTATAAACTTATTTATCATCAATCTGTGTAGATGAACTTATTTCAGATTTTCTGAAATAGTAAACATATATGGACCAGGATGTGGCTCAGAGCCAGAGTGTGTGTCTTACAGCAGTGAGGCCTAGAGTTCATCCCTAGCACCACAAAATAATAAAATAGCTCTAAATATAGACAATGCAATAAATATAGCTAGAGAGGTAGTAAACATGTATCATATCTTCTTCTGTGGAATATTTCTGAAGTAGCTGTTGGTATTGGAAGGATAGAAGAATATTACAATTTCTGTGATCGCTTTAAATTTATGATTTTATGTCTTACTACTAAAAAAATAGAATTTCTATGTTTAATATGACATTTGAATGAAAAAACAATTCTCCATGGGGCTAGAGCAATCATACAGTAGATAGAACTCTTGCCTTGTGGGTGGTCACCCCCAATTTTCATTTCTGGCACTAGATCTCCCAAGCTAAGAGTGACCCCCAAGCACAGAGCCAGGAGTAAGCCCTGAGAACCTCCATGTGTGGAACAAGCAGCACCCCTGCAAATAATTCTCCCCATCTGTGCTTCCAGAATTCTGGGGTCCAATGATAGCTCATTGAAGTTTGAGAAATCGTTTTAATTCATAAAAATCATTCTGGTTTAGTCTAGCTTTCCATTCTCAACAGCATCTTAGAAATTCCAGAAACTGTTTTAAATGTGCATAATTCTCATAAAATACAGGACTAGGAGCAAGGGTAGAGATTTTGCAAAGGCTGTTTTTGGAGGGTAAGAAAGAGGTTCTCTTTTCCTGATGAAAAGAGAACATCCTTCCAACTCACTGTCCCCTCACTGTTCCTCGTATTTTTTCAGGCTATCCGACATGTGCAGACTATGTATGAGGAGGCATACAACAGTTACCTGAAGGACAGGGGAAAGGGGAATGTGACACTCATCACTTTCCACTCAACAGTAAGTGACCTTCCCCCTTGCTGGTTACTGTGTCTTCTAAAGATGGTGCCCCAGTTGTAGTTTCGTGATAGAGACATGCAGGTGTCAAGCCCTGGGTTTGACCCTTAGCACCAGTAAAAACAAACATAAGCTAGAGATTGTGGGAACCAGATTCTTTCTTATCACCTGGACCAAAATAGGATAAAATTCATGAAAACAAGACAGCGTCATGTTTAACCCTCATGGAAACCACAGGTTACATTGTGTTCGGAATCTGGAAGAGGAAAAGGCCCAACACCAGGAGTTCCCAAAAGGAAGTCAGACTTGTGTTCCAAGGATATACAAGAGCACGAGAAAGAACCAGGAGCAGGTAGCCTAGAGAAATGCCCTGTTTTCTTCAAGATTGGCATTGAGGTGTGACAAAAAATCCAGAACCTTCGAGTTTAGAAACACTCCTTTCCAGAAGCAGCGGGGGCCACAGACCCGTTCAGCACACTTGAGCACTCGCCTCCCAGTGGTTCTCTTCACTCCTCTGTGCATGAAGGGTGTGAGCAGGCCTTTCCAGTGGGCTGCATGGGTCCTGCTGTCTGAGTGCAGCCCAGGGAACAGGCAGGGAAATGCTACAGGCCAGTGTGTTCCTTGTCTTTTAACCACTATGACTAGAGAATTAGCTTTGGACTCTTGGGCTCAGTCTTTTCAGGTAGCCCAATTCTGGTCTGTCACAGGAATGGTCTGGAAGGTGCTAATCATTCCTCTTGCTCAGCTTCAACTGTCCCCAGGATCTCAGGCAGCACATAGGTCTCTGAGGGACCTAGCGAAGGCAGAACACCTGAGTTGCAATTCCTGTGAGTTTCTGTGGCCACTTCTTGTCTCAGACTGTCCCTTCTTTAATGAGCCTGTCTTGAAGCTCATAAAATTTGAATTACTAATCAGGTTAAATTACTTCCAGTTTGAAAAAAGAATCTAAAATTTCAAATCCTGTGTGTGTGTGTGTGTGTGTTTGTGTGTGTGTCTGTTTAAGCCACAATTTTCACAGTCACTGTCAGTTAGCTTCCTCTTTGTTTGGCATGAGGGACTTCCCATCATAAAACCAGGACCACTCCAGAGCCGCCATGTCTATGTTCTGCCAGCCTCTCTGCTCTTTCCAGAAGCAAATGACAGTGACAGGGACTTAGAATCAGCTTTGCTACCTCAGCACCCCAGGCCCAGCCCAGACGCCCAGCAGGGCATTTGCTCTGCCCTCCTGCATGCTAAAATCTCTTTTCTGGCTCTAGTTTCAGTGCTGTGGGAAAGAAAGCCCTGAGCAGGTCCAGTCCACGTGCCCAAAGGCGCTGCCAGGAGACAAGGTGAGGTTCTCTGCTGAGGTCACTTCTGTCTGCCACCAAGGTCATCCGTGAGTGCCTAACCCAGCATTTCTCTGCTTGGGGTCTGTAGAGCCCCAAGGGCGCCCAGATATTCCTACAGGACCACTGGTGAAAGTCACGTAAATGGGGGAAAGCCACGGCAAAACTAGGGGACCAGCCAGTAGGAAAGGTGGGTGGTGGGGAAAGCACAGGAGAAAAATAAGGCCAGAAAGGGATCAAGGTCAGGAGAGATTGAAAACGCTAGTTTTCAAAGCTGGGGAAATTGACCAAGCAGTTTTGTTTTTGTTTTTGTTTTTTTTTCTTATTAATCATTTGTGGTGTTAGCAGCAACGCTGTAAAGTGAGTGTTTTCAGGAAACTGGAGCTTCATAGGACTCTGTGCTGTGCCCTTTAATCCAGAAATTCCTCTTTCCTCATTTATGTTAAAGGAAAGAGATCAGGCGCATATGCTGCCTGAGCACATGTGTCACCCGCATCTCCCCTCTTGAGATGTGTACTTTCATGTTTTCATGTCTAATTCTGGGATGTGTGTAGGGGCTCTCTCCGCCCTTGGAGAAGCCCGGGCTCCCTTTCAAGTAGGTTACTCTCTACTCTCTCTCATTTTCTCTCCCTCCTTTCTTTCAAAACCTCCAAATAAAAACTGTGTAATTTTCAAAAAAAAAAAAAAAGGAAAGAGAGGAAAGACAGAGATGTGAACAGAGATTTTTGCACAATGATGCTTACAGCAGAATTATATCACTGTAGCACTGTCCTCCCGTTGTTCATTAATTTGCTCAAGCGGGCACAAGTAACGTCTCCATTGTGAGACTTGTTACTGTTTTTGGCATATTGAATATACCACTAGGAGCTTGCCAGGCTCTTCCGTGCAGGCGGGATACTCTCAGTAGCTTGCCAAGCTCTCTGAGAGGGATGGAGGAGTTGAACCCGGGTCCGCCACATGCAAGGCAAACACCCTACCAGCTGTGCTATCGCTCCAGTCCAGCAGAATTATAAGATCAAATATTGAGTGCACCACTGATATGAAATAATAGACGATCATTGAAATCAATTTCCAGACATTTTTATGGAAAAAAATGTTTGCATCCATTTACAGTTGTGATTTCAAAAAACTTTTTGAAGTTGTAATGTTAAGTTTAGATGGCACACAGCTGGACTGAGGAGTGGCCTAAGTGGTAAAACATGCCTCATGCGTAAGTTCTTATTTTCCATCCTTGGTGCCACATAAAGCCACATCCCCAGAACCACTGAGGTCGCAGTGACAACCCAGAGCACCTCCAGACCTGAATCTGAACTGTCACGTCCATATTCCCAAACCAGCTACAATGAGGATGAGCCCTGGACCAACACACACACACACACACACACACACAGCTGCATCTAAGGAATCAATTGTGTGAGTGTATTTGTTAGAAGTAAATACCTACAATGCAGAAATTCTTCTTAGTAGTAGGAGTACAAATATTTCTTTGTCTTTACATTTATTTTTCAAGCTGCTTCAATAAGCACATGTTCCTCTTAGAACTAAGTAAATTTAGTACCAAACACATTTTAGTCTGCTTTTTCACAGGAAGAACCTGACTTTGAAAGAAATGAGTGGGCAGACACAGAGCTAGAGCTGTGTTCTTTTTATTTTCCTTCAATTTCTCTCTCTCTATTTTTTCTTTGGGGTCACACCCAGCGATGCTCGGGTGTTACTCCTGGCTCTGCACTCAGGAATTACTCCTGGCAGTGCTCAGGACCCCATATGGGATGCCAGGAGTCAGGTGTGTGCAAGGTAAATGCCGTACCACTGTACTGTCACTCTGGCACCTAAAATGACTGTTTTGGACAGTCCCGGTAAACTCTACCTTGCTTAATTAATTGGATCAAGTCTGTATAAAATCCATAAATGATCATATAAAATCAAGGGCTATTATTTTAGGAATATGGCTTGTTACTTATGTGTTGCAAGTAATAAGAGGCCCCAAATTTTTTAAATATCTCTGATCTCAGAATAGCTTCCTTCAGCCAGGTCTTAGGTCTATGAGGTAGCACTGGTTGCCTGAAAGAGAAGCACAATAATAAGACGGTATATTTTCCCTTGGGCCAGAGCAATAAAAGGTAAAGGTAAAGGCCCTCCCGTTGATCGTCGATTTGCTCGAGCGGGCCCAGTAACATCTCCATTGGAGACTTTGTTGTTACTGTGTCTGGCATATCGAATACTCTCGGTAGCTTGCCGGGCTCTCCGAGAGGGGCGGAGGAATCGAACTCGGGTTGGCCATGTTGGCCGCTTGTAAGGCGAATGCCCTACCCGCTGTGCTATTTGTGATAGGCCAGAGCAATAGCATAGCGGATAGAGCATTTGCCTTGCATGTGGCCAACCTGGGTTCGATTCCTCTGCCCCTCTTGGAAAACCTGGCAAGCTACCGAGAGTATTCTGTTCACATGGCAAAGCCTGGCAATCTACTCATGACGTATTCGATATGCCAAAAACAGTAACAATACATCACACAATGGAGATGTTACTGGTGCCCACTAGAGAAAATGATGAACAACGGGAGGACAGTGTTACAGTGCTATATTTTTCCTTCAAACTACTTTTTTTGCTTTAAATTGGACAATTGATGCTATTCTGAAAGAATGATTTCAATATGAACCAAAGCTAGAGTGGATTATCACAGAATTATCAGTGAAAATTACACAGAGTGATGATTCACATATACCATCAGTTGTTATTGCTGACAGTTTTTTTCCTCCCAAAATAGAACTGCATTGATGAAATTGAGTCTGTAATCAGTGTTAAACTTCAGCTCATTGGAATTGTTGGCATTGGAATTGCAGGTTTCATGGTAAGAAAATTTTTTAATTTATCTAAATCTTGAGCAACTTATTTCTCTTCAAGTGTGATATGACAATTTCTTAAAAGAGAGTTCTCCTAAAAGACAAAGGCCTGAGTTGAAGGGACACCTAAGAATAAAGTGAATTAGATGCAAAAATACCTCACTTGCTAAAATCACGGTCACGGTCTGTTGTTCATCGATTTGCTCGAGCAGGCCCAGTAATATCTCCATCATGAGACTTGTTGTTACTGTGTTTGGCATATCGAATACGTCATGGGTAGCTTGCCAGGCTCTGCCATGTGGGCGAGATACTCTTGGTAGCTTGCCGGGCTCTCCGAGAGGGGCGGAGGAATCGAACTTGGGTCGGCCATGTTGGCCACTTGTAAGGCAAACGCCCTACCACTGTGCTATAGCTCCAGCCACTTGCTAAAATAAGATATGAAATTCAATGTTAACCTCTGTGCCTACATTTATGCTTGCAGTAATTTCACATTTTCAGGCTGCTAAGCTGAAACTTGACAGGTAATTTTCAATTCTGGAACTCTTCCTACTATCAGAAATAACTAAACAGATTAACCTTTAGTGCTAGGATATGAAAAGGCATTATATTTTCTTGTTTAACTGTGTAATCCCCAGCAACACACCCTCTGCATTCAACTCTGAGCTCCTACTTGGAAGGTTTGGGATGTGAAGGGAAATTGTTTTCAGTTTCTCTATGCCCCAATGTCTCAATTTACTCAACTAGAAAATGAGGATTTCAATTTAAACTTCATGAAGTAAAGATGATATAAGATGATTTGTGTAAAGAGTTATTTAGAAATAATTCATTTCAAGTGTCTGGAACATAGAGTTTAATAAATGGTAGCTGTGTGTAACCTGAATGTTCTTCAAACTAGAATTGGGCTGAAGGCAGAAGTGGGAATGTGAGTGTTCCCTTAGTACACCCTCAGCTCTACAAGACCATGCAGAAAGCCCTGTATACAAAAATCAGTAGGGACAAAAGGGAAGGATGGGATGAGGGTTACACAGTCGAGGTCTTGTGTGCCCTTAAGGCAGAGGTGAATGCTTGGAGTTCAAAGGATCTCTGTTGCATGAATTGGTAAAGCTGGAAGAAAGCAAGATTTGAATCAGGGAGGCCAACAAACTGGCACTTCCCATTGTCCAGGGGCTGTGCTAACTACATCCTCTCTAACCTTTCTTCTGGGTCCATTAACTAAGTCAGGGGCAGTGGGAATTTTGAGGAAATCCAATTAATTGGCAGTGTTCCTCTTTTTTGTACTGAGAACACAGAGGATGGGGCAGAGAGTGGACGGAACTACAACCTGAGGGGGCGCCCAGAGTGGGAAGACTCCTCAGCTCTTCCCAACTGCACTGGGTCAACCTGATTGCCACACTGTTGCCCTCAAAGACAAGGCTGAGCCGGAAGATTTTATAATGGCAGTAACAAATATACCTTCTTAATATATTGGGAGTAACAAATATTTGTTACTCCTTTCTGTATATTGGGAGTAACAAATTTATATGCCTAGTGAGTCTGTGGTCTTGGTGAATGAGCAATCTAGAAAGTTCCACCCCTGGATCTGAAGAGATAGCACAGAAGGCAGGACATTTGCCTTGCATATGGCCAACCTAGGTTCTATCCCTAGCATCCCATATGGACCCGCAAGCACCACCATGAGTGCCAGGAGTAACTCCACGTTGCTGGGTGTGGCCCAGAAACAAAAACAAGAAACAAAAAACAAAGCTCCATCCTGACTCAAAACAAAATGAAGCTGAAGTTCTTTCTGAAGTTCTTTCTTCATCCCCAGAACACAAGCAGGGATGAAGAAAGGGTTGCTCACCACCTTGCCACCAGGGCAGGGAGGACACTTCTGTTGAATCAGCACCCTGCAGTTGTGAGCACATATGTAAATTATTTGCAAGAGTAATCAGTTGTCCATTAGGTGTCTCTCATGCCTGTACTGAATTCTTTCAAAGAGTCCTGGAGCCACACTCTGCTATTCATAACTCTTCCCATCTTCTCCAATATAAGTGAAAAATCTTGCCTTTTTCACTTAGAGTTTTCAGAATCTAGTCTGATTTAGGATGGGATTAAGGAGAGGGTCAGAGATTCATGGTACTGATGTCTTGAAACATGGCACCCACAGGTCCTATTTCAGCCCTTGCACAATTGAAGAGGGAATGGCTAAAGACAAGACTGACCTTATTGGCAGCCTTCTAATTAACTCATCTGTGTTTCTATTAATCTTTCTAAGATTTAAAAATCTTTCAAAAAAGGGTAGGGGTGATTTTTGTGGCCTGGAGTGATAGCCCAACAGGTAGGACGCTTGCCTTGCACATGGCTTTTCCAGGTTTGATCACCATATATGATCCCCTGAGCCCTTGAGTGATTACCTGAGCATAGAGACAAGAGTAAGCCCTGAGCACCACCAGATGTGGCCTCAAGATGAAAACAAATAAATAAATAAATAAAAATAATCTAAATCTTAATTAAATAGTAGATTTTTAATGCTATTTATAACCAGTATTTTTTAATTATTATCTGATTCGGTTAGAAAACCCAGATCATGGGATCAGCGAGATAGTACAGTGAGTAAGGTGCTTATCTTACAAGCAGCCAATCCAGGTTCAATCCCCAGATTCGATGCCCAAGCACTGCCAGGAGTGATTCCTAAGTGCCAAGCCCGGAGTCACCTGGAGAATTGCTGTGTGTGGCCCAGAAACCAAAAAAGAAAAGAAAAATAAAAACCAGGTCATTTGCTGGCCTTTTCATTGGCTTTTACCTGTGGGGAGTCAATAACCAGTGGCCCCCTGTCTTCCAGATCTTTGGTATGATCTTCAGCATGGTTCTCTGCTGTGCCATCCGGAACTCCCGGGATGTGATCTGAAGCTGCAGCTGTGTGCTTCCGCAGAGCCAAGAGCTGCCTCCCAGAGCGTCTTTACTAATCAGAGGACACTCATAGCATTTGCTGTTAATTGTACATTTGCACATGTGTGTTTGACTTGTTCCTGGTTCCCCTGTGAGTGGATGCTACACATGACGACAAAGAGCATTCTCATTTGTGGTCTGTGTGTTTGGGTACATGCGTTTTATATATAGTGATATCTGTTTGCTGGAAATTCCTGCTCTTGTCATGAGAGATATAGAACTGATTTAACTCGGCAGGGGGTATTTTTTAAAAAGCTTTGATAAACTTGAAAATGAGTGATAACGGGTCAGTCTCTCAGATTCTAGCCATAGAACTGAGACAGAAAGATTGGGGGTTTCTAGCCAACAGAAGCAATAAGCTATGGGAGCTGAGAGTAGGATCACAGTGCAGTGTGAAATTGCCTGTGCCTGAGTCGACTACGTCTGAGTATATGGGTTTCCTGGGATTTTTCTTTTTAAATACACACTCTCCCTAGAATTCATTGCAATGTAATTTACACATCTGTTAAACTAAGCAGCACTGTTCTCCCATTGTTCATCGATTTGCTCGAGCAGGCACCAGTAATGTCTCCATTATGAGACTTGCTGTTACTGTTTTTGGCATATTGAATATGTCACGAGGAGCTTGCCAGGCTCTGCTGTGCAGGCGGAATACTCTCAGTAGCTTGCCGGGCTCTCCGAGGCAGATGGAGGAATCGAACCTGGGTCAGCCACATGCAAGGCAAATGCCCTACCCGCTGTGCTATGGAAACTCTAATTAGAATAAGTCATGTCGTCCTAGTATTTAAATACAAAAACTTTAAAAATATTCCCTCTGGAGAGTGGTCTAACAGACAATCATATGCCCTTTAAAAGTGAAGTAAGTGCTTATAGGACTAAAGCAAAATCTTTTAATAGCTTTGTAAAGGAAATATTTTTGTTCTTATAGAAAGACATTGAAATACTGCTCTGTTACATTTCCTTTCCTGACTCTGCTCTGATCCACTGCATTCTTCACATCCTTAAAAGGGCTTTTAACCTCAAACATCTCTGTGTTTCTCTAAGTGTAAGGACTAAGGCAAGAAATCTGGCAGCTGAACATAATAGGAAAGAGACTTTTTCTTGGCCCTGTGTCTTAGATGTACCTCATAACTTGTGTTTACATGTTTTCCTATTTGGGGGATTCTTCTTATTTATTTTCCTAGAAAATACTTCCTCTGAGATTAAATGCTACATTTTTAAATGGAATTAAAAAATCCCATATAATTTAAATATTATCTCATGATCATCCTTAGTCAAACCAAAATAAATAAACAAAAGCATCTTCAAGTGGTTTGCACACACCTGAAGCATGCTTAAGCAACAAAATACACACACAACAAAATATTTTCTCTCTGTGAAAGACCTCAATGAAAATAAAATTTTTGCAGTCTTGGTTCTTCATTTTAGTTATCTCAACCCAAATTTACTATCTAAATTGACTATTTGTCAGTGATTTTTAATAACTGGGTACATTTAGTAAATGATGCCTTTTGCAATTATATTTTCAAAGATCACACAGAAGTGATCTTAATGGGAGACTTTGGAAAGCCCCAAGTGAATGCTGACATAAAGTGTTTGGCGGACACAAGCACTATAGCACTGTCCTCCTGTTGTTCATCAATTTGCTCGAGCGGGCACCAGTAATGTCTCCATTGTGAGACTTGTTGTTACTGTGTTTGACATATCGGATATGTCATGGGTAGCTTGCCAGGCTTTTCCATGCGGGCAATATACTCTCAGTAGCTTGCCAGGCTCTCCGAGAGGGGCAGAGGAATCAAACCCAGGATTCCCAGGTCGGCTGCATGCTAGGTAAACATTCTACCTGCTATGCTATTACTCCAACCATTTCTCACAAACTATTTCATGACCTACTCATCTGAAACATCCTCTCTCCCATAAAAATTCACCTTTCTCTTTGTATGCTTTGCTACTGTTACTATCTTTGGAGGAAACTTTTCCAGAAAAATGTCAGCTTAGACACAAGATCAAACATTTAATTGGTGCATGGTTTGTGTCTATAGATAAAGAAAAGATTAGCACTGTAGCACTGACTTCCCGTTGTTCATGGATTTGCTCGAGCAGGCCCAGTAACGTCTTTGTTGTGAGACTTTTGTTACTGTGTTTGGCATATCAAATACATCACGGGTAGCTTGCCAGGCTTTGCCATGCAGGTGTGATACTCTCGGTAGCTTGCCGGGCTCTCTGAGAGGGGTAGAGGAATCAAACCCAGGTCGTCAGGGTTGGCCACATGCAAGGCAAATGCCCTACCCACTGTGCTGTCGCTCCAGCCCAAGAAAAGATTATTTTAAGGAAAACATGTCCTGGGTCTGGGGAGAAAGTTCTTTCTATCTTTGCTGCCCCATGACAGTCTGACTTCGGGCAAGTGTAACTCTAGAGACCCCTGTGCACTACTAGAGTGACCGGTTCCCCAGTCCTCCTGGGCTGAAGCAGTATCACCAGCATGGATTAACTCATCTGGAGGGCAATTATAACTGGGAGGGGCCCCTTTGTCACCTGAACATTGCCTAGGAGACTCCCCACCAAAAAGAAAAGGAAGAAAACATTTTATGAAATAATTTTTTCCCTGCAGTAGTTGAGAAATAGAATCTTTGAAATGAAGAAAAGTCTTTTGGTAGCTTTAAAGAATTTGTCTAGCCAGAGAAAGTAAACTGGTTCAGGTAGCCCCACAGATTCCAATCATCTCTGGGTAATCAAACGCAAGTTTCTGTCTTTCATTCATAACCTTAAGGAAAGCTACAGTAGATAACATAGGAAAAGTAGACTATAATTCCACATGTAATTTAATGTGCCCCCTTGGAAAGCAATTTATCCGAAATATAGGCCATGAGTAAATTTAGAGAATTCCACCTGTGAAAGTAGTATTTATATATATATATACATATATATATAGAAAGAGAGAGAGAATTCCCATATATCTTGACTATATAATCGTGGAGATATATTTCTTAACTATATATGCATATACATAACTTGAATATATGTCTACATGGATGTTTGTTGATATGGATGTGTGTATTTATGCATACATGCATATACAAAGTTTTGGTTAGATCTGTTTGCCTAAGATCAGACCCAAACAATTTCCTTAAGCATCTGGTGCCAAGGCATAAAATGAAAGCTTCTTGATGATGAACTATTTTAAGTTATTTCAAATTAAATTTTCTATGTATTGGAATTGTTTGTTTCATTTATCTGGGAAAAAAAAACTATGACATCTTGGTGGTCAGAGAGATGGTACAAGGGTTAAGAAACTTGAATGCAGTCAACTCCTGTTCAATCCCAAACACTGCTGGGAGTGACCCCAAGCACAGAGCCAGGACTAGTCCCCAAATACCACCAGGTAAAAAAAAAACTTGTTGTATCTTTATATACGCCATAACAACCTGACATATATTAAAATTCCAATAAATCTAAACAGTCTGGTAGGGAAAGGAAAATTGAGTGAGTCTTTTACAGTGTTGGAGGTGGGGATAGCTGCTACATTTAAAAGCGATACCCTCAGTGGTATGGTGCTACCCAGCAGGTCAACCTGTACCTGCGGGGCAAGTGCATCAGCAGCCCAGTGGTGCCTTCAGGCTTCCTGATACCCCACAAATTGCCACTATGCTCTGGACCAAGTTTCCCGGTAAATTAAGCAGCCAAAACTTAGGTATGTGGGAATCACCCCGACAAACTACCTCCAGCTCAGCTACACAAGCTCATTTATCAGCCTTGCTTCAGAGACTCATAAATAAATCTCTGAAGATTTATAAATAAATCTCTGAAGATTTTTGATCTCTGAAGAGATCAAAATCATACCATTTAACTATATTAACAGGCATGATTCAGAGATTCACAAATGAATCTCGGAAGAGAGAAGCATGCCGCAAAGATGTCTCCCCACCCACACCAGGCTTGTTTCACTGGGCACCTTGGAGGGGGCCAGGTGTGTCCCTCCACCTGCCCCAAATGAACCCCAGCAGCTACAAACTTCCACAACCCAATCGCCGCCACACTCACAGCCAACCTCTACAGATTTGTCCAGAGTCCCCCTCCCCCGCCCACGCATGAGAATGAACCCCCTGAAAAACCCTGGTATGTGGACCAGTAACTGAAAACTCCAGGCTTCACAGAGTCGGGGATGGGTAACCACCTCCCCATCTCCCCGCCCTTCTGGTTCCCTGGCAGTCACACCCACGAACTGCCCCTGGGCACTATTTAAGCATATTAACAGCCATGATCCAGAGACTCATAAATGAATCACGGCCATGATCCAGAGACTCATAAATGAATCTCAAAGAGCAGCACAACACAAAGATGCCACTGGACCCCAATTACTTGAAAATTTTAGAATTCTAGGAGTGTGCAGCCATTTTCACAGCCACACGACATCCCATACTATTCATAACAAACAATACAAAATAATTTAGCATCTGCTTATGGGTCAGGCTTGCATGGAGGTGTGAGAGTTCAAGATAATAATGGTGGGAAGGTGCAATGGTGGTGGGACTGGTGTTGAGATATTGAATTATTGTGAATAACTTTATGAAAATAAAATTTTTAAATTAAAAAATAAATAAAAGCAATACCTTTAGGGCTTTTTTTGCCTAGAGTTAGTCATCAGTTAATGATAAGCCAGAGACTGGGACTAGGGCTCAGAGTGAAGCCTGAGTTTCATTCTCAATTATGTACATTCCCCCAGCACTGCCAAGAGTAACCCATAAACAACAAACCAAGAGCATCCTGATCTGGCTGGGTGTGGCCAACTCCTCCCCAACATACCCCCAAAACAAATACTGATTAACCCAAACTCTCCCTTTGCTCCTTGGTGTTCATTAATAAAACGTACTCTAATGCAGGGGCCAGAGTAACCCTTAAGCAGGCAGCAGGATGGGCAGAGCTACAGGAAAAGGCAGTGAAGGGGATGGTGTGTTTTCCCTTTTAAAGTAGGTGTGTAGGGCTGGAGGAATAGTACAGCAGGTAGGGTACTTGCCTTGCATCTGACTGACTTAGGTTCAAAACCTTTCACCACAAATGGTCCCCTGAGCCCACCAGGAGTGATTTCTGAATGCAGAGCCAGGAAGAAGCTCCAAGCACTGTCAATTATGGCACCCAAACCAAAAATGAATAAATAAAATTAAGTAAATGTATGGTGCTGGAGAGATAGTACAGCCAGTAGGGCACTTGCCTTGTACACGGCCAACGCAGATTTGATTCCCAGCACTTCATATGGCCACCTGAGCCCACCAAGATTGATTCCTGAGCACCAGCAGGTGTGGCCCAAAATATTAAAAAATTAAGTAGGTGTTTTAGGGCCAGAGAGATAGTACAGTGGATAAGGTTTTTGCCTTGCATGCAGCCAGCCCAGGTTTGGTCCCTGGCATCACATGTAGTTCCCTGAGCTTCACCAGGAGTGATCCCTGAGCACAGAGCCATGAGTAAGCTCTGCACACTGCTAGGTATGGCCCAA